CACCGTCTGTATACTAGCAATGACATTTCAGAAAAAGAAATGAAAACCAAAACAATTCTTTTTGCAACCGCAACAAAAGAATAAAATACCTAGGAATAAACTTAACAAAGGATGTGAAGGACCCATATGCTGAAAACTACAAGGTATTATTAAAAGAAATTAAAGAAGACACAAAGAAATGCAAAGCTATTCAATGTTCATGGATTGGAAGAGTCGGCATAGTTAAAATGGCCAAATTACCCAAAGCAATATACAGATTAAATGCTATCCCCATTAAAATTTTTCAGATTTATGGAATCACAAAAGACCTTGAATAGCCAAAGCAGTCCTCAGAAAAAAGAACAAGCCTGGAGGTATCACACTCCTTGACTTCAATCTATACTATAAGGCGACAATAATCAAAACAGCATGGTATTGGCAGAAAAACAGACACACAGACCAATGGAATAGAATTGAAAACCCAGAAATGAACCTATAGATATATGAACAGATAATTTTGACAAATGAGCCAAAAACATACAATGGAGAAAAGAAAGCCTCCTCAATAAATTGTGCTGGGAAAATTGGAAAGCCACATGCAAAAGAATGAAACTAGACTGCTATTTGTCACCATGTACCAAAATTAACTCAAAATGGATCGAAGACCTACCTAAACATGAGACCTGAAACCATAAATTGCTTAGAAGAAAGCATAGGTACTAAACTTATGGACCTTGGGTTCAGAGAGGATTTTATGAATTTGACCTCAAAGTCAAGGGAAGTAAAAGCTAATATAAATGAATGGGGCTATATCCAACTAAAAAGCTTCTGCACAGCAAAAGAAACCATCAACCAAACAAAGAGGTAACCAAAAAAATGGGAGAAGATATTTGCAAATAACGCCTGTGATAAGGGGCTAATATCCAAAATACGAATATAAAGAACTCGTACAACTCAACAACAAAAAAACCAAACAATCCAATTAAAAAATGGGCAGAGGACCTGAACAGACTTTTCTCCCAAGAAAACATACAAATGGCCAACAGATATATGAAAAAAATGTTTCAACTAGCTATTAGGGAAATGCAAATCAAAACCACAATGAGATATCACCTCACAACTGTTAGAATAGCTATTATCAACAAGATAAGTAAGTGATAACAAGTGTTGGGGAGGCTGTGGAGAAAAGGGAACCCTCATATGCTACTGGTGGAATGTAAATTGATATAGCCACTATTGAAAACAGTATGGAAGGTCCTCAAAAAATTAATAATCGAATTACCATACGACCCAGCAATCCTTCTTCTGAGTATCTACCCCAAAAATCTGAAAACCTTTATCCGTAAAGATATATGTGCCCCTATTTTCATTGCAGCATTATTCACAGTGGCTAAGACATGGAAACAACCAAAGTGTCTTTCAATAGATGATTGGATAAAGAAGATGTGATACATATACACAATGGAATATTACTCTGCCATAAGATAAGATGAAATAGTGCCATTTGCGACAACATGGATGGATCCTGAGATTATTACACTAAACAAAATAAGCCTGACAGAAAGCCGAGAACCATATGACTTCACTAATATGGGGGATATAAAACTGAAAGCAACAAATGAACAAGACAAACAAGTAAAGAAACAAAAACTCATAGACACAGACAACAGTTCAGTGGTTACCA